CCCGCGGCTATTGTGCCGAGGGTGGGTTGGGCGGAAAGCGCATCACCAAGAGCGAAAAAGGTGTGGGTGGGGGGGGGGGGGGTGAGGGGGGGGGGGGGGGGGGGGGGGGGGGGGGGTAGATGGAAATGAAATTATAAGTGAATTAAAGCGCGCCACGAGAAGAGGAGTGGGCCAGCGTAGCCCACAAAGAGAGAGAGAGAGAGACGAGCTTAGCGGTGTGGCAGGTACAGTGTACAGTTCAGGGTACAGTTAACTCTGGCTGCCACTACCACACGGCACCAGCTTTAAGGTCAATCAACAGTGGCCTAGACAGAGACAGATAGAGAAAGAAGAGAAAAAGCCACGTTTAAAATTCTATTTGGCGCACAGCAGCAATTTGCAAGGAGGAAAGCAGAGAATAAGAGGCGGAGAAGAAGAAGATGAAGCTGCTGCCAGGCAGAAGATGGAGCCAACAGTTTGAGGCATGCTGCATGCTGATGCACTGCCGCCCAGAGAGAGACTAACTGCCGGGGTAATCGCATGTGGCGCAACCTAAGCAGCGTTGCCCCAGCAACCTCCCTCCCATCTCCGCCTCGCCACAATCTGAAACTCCAAAGTCCAGGTCCGTCGTGTGCCATCAATGGACTCCTACACTGTGAAGCGCTCTCCTTGGAGCCCCCAAAAGCCTGATGTATGACACTAGATAAGGCCACCACCTTCTGCTTTATACCTCCCGTCTCCCGCCTCCCGCCTCCCTCCTTTTTCAGGTCTCATCTTCCGCGGCAGATGGATGCCGCCTGCACCCTACACTCCGCCTACAGTGAATGGGGGATCTTCCGCGGGATATGACCATGCAAATGGGTTAGAGGAATCGTCCGTCAGGAGGTTGCTTGAAATTAAATTCTATTCAGCGTGGGCCAATGAGCAATTAAGCGAGTCTCCCGCCAGCTCGGCCTGCTGCAGGATCACACTGTAGGGCACCCGAAAGATGCCACTGCAGCATGTAGCATATGTACTTATGTATGTGTGTGCTCTATTCGCCCCCAAAAACTATTTGTAACTTTTCTTTTTCTTTTCTCTCGTGTTCATTTTTCCTACTGTCCTGTGCTGGAGCTTCTCTGAGGCACATGCGTCGCATATATCACAACTTGCAACTGGCAACCGTTTTCTAGCCCCGCTCCACTCCACTCCACTCCACTCCTCCGTGTCCAGAGCTTGCGGTTTTCGTGTGCAGTTTGGGGATTAGGGAAGCTGCCACTGCCACTGCCTCTGCCTCTGCAGAGACGACAACGACGACGATGATGATGATGATGCCCCTGATCCCTCCACATATGCAGTTTTTACATCAAGGTTAATGGCTACAAAGAGAGAGATTTCGGAAGGGGTGGAAAGGTGGGCAGAGTTCTGTACTGGCTACGAAATGTACACCGCTTTACCGTTTGGGTTAAACATTTAAGCTGCTCATTTCCTAGGAAATCAACCAACAAAATGGGGGGACAGACACAGAGGCTTCAGGCTGAGGCTCAGCCTTAGACGATGTCTCCCATGTCCACACGGGGAGAACGACTGGGACTGGCAGTGGGTATGGCTATTTTTGGGCTAATGATGCTCTTTCGCCAAGCCAACGGGCAGGCAGGCGGCATCGTTGCACCACTCGATGTCCATCATTCATTTGGCTAGGCAATGTACAAGAGAGACAGAGAGAGAGCCACATTTAGAGCCATGTTTATGTTTATTGACTGTTATGGACATGAGTCACAGTTAGACGACGATGGACGATGCGGATTTTAACGGAAGTGTTACAATGAGACATAACCAGAGAGGGGTGCGGGAATGACACAGAAGATGATGTAGAGGAGAGAGAGACACAGCCTAGGTTGTGGGTTCTGGCTGGGATAAATGTCCAGTAACCCATTACCATCCATTGGGTTCCCTGCTGTCAGAGTGTCAGTCAGTCGTTGGGGGCACAGAGGAGTGGAGTGGAGTGGATTCTCTGGTGTCTGGTCTCTGTTTCCTTGGTTATTTGCTTAAGTGCAAATATGAGCAACTATTTGCTAAATGACAGTTATTGCTGATTAGCTGTCAGACATTTTGACAGCTTGAAGAATGATTCGCAATTTTCGCAGACCCAAGGGTTTTGGTTCTGCCTACAGTCTGTAGTCTGTAGTCTGTTGAGTCTGGATGGAGTCTTGCAGTTAATGATGTAGCCACATGGTTAATTAGAACATTAGTCTCCCGCTAAAAGCAAGTTTAAATCATTAGCAGAGGCTGTCAAAATCTACGGCTGCCGTTTGCTCTCCATCTCCATCTTGCTGGCTAATGGCTAGAGAATTTCTCTAGGGTACAATGCAGTGGGCCGCTCCTCTCAGGTGCTCTCACATACCAAGCGCAGAGCCCAAAATTACGCATAAGGAAGGCGGCGCGGCACACCAAAAATTATGAGCAGGCATGAAGGAACGGGGAGGAAACGTGGAGCAATAAAAAGCAATCGCTTTGTTGTAACCAAAAACGTTTGCCCCAAAGCAACGCAGCGAAGAGGAGGCGTTCAAGAGTCGTGTGGTACCTGTGTGCACCGTCTTTCGAGAGAGTTTCGCTGTTGCTGCTGCGTTGTTTTGTAGCTAAAATTGAATATGGCCAAAAGCGGCACACAAATAGCCAACAAGGAGAGGAAACGGAGGAGCAGTAGAGAGCTGAGAAGGCGATTCCTTCTTGGCTATTTCGCCTTATAAGGTTGCGCACATAAATAAGCTCAGCAAAATGTATTGGCAGAGTCCAACTTGGAGTCCAAGTCTTGGGCATCGGCATGCGGCATCTGCAGCAGCAGCAGCAGCAGCAGCACTGAAGCAGCCGCTCCAGCAATGGGCAATGGCAACTTGTGGCTTCGAGTACCATCCAACAATTTCAACAATCAACTGATGAGAAAAGGAAATGAAAAGTCAACATAGGGCACACAATACAGACGCTCCAGATGTAGAAGGAGGAGGAGTTGGGGATGAGCTCTGCTCTACAGCCAGAACCAATCGAAGCTGAAGCTGAAGCTAAAGCTAAAGCCAAAGCCAAGTCTTAGGGTGACCGCAGCAGCGGGGCCTTTGGCTTTGAGGCCCCCCAATTGGGGGCCCCATCAAGCGGTAGTTGAAACGAAAATTACTTCAACTAAAAGATTAGGAAAAACTCCAACCCACAGGCCTTAATTTGAGGAAACTCTGGAATGGTTCAATAGATGAAAAGTTCGAGTTCGGCTAAAGATAAATGGAAAGTAATCGAGTGAGAAATCGCTGAAACAATGTGTCTGGTATTTCTATAGCTAAAACAACCACTGTATACCCTATACATAAGTATATGCAGATCGTATACCCTATGTGTATTCCTATACTTTTGCTATCTGAGTAAAGATCTGTAGATCTCTTGGGTTCTTGCACCTTCTGCGTCTGTTCTGTTGTTGCGCATCTTCGTGCATCTTTGCCTGCTTCTTGGTATCTTTTTCTGCTTCTCTTGCTCCATCGATCGTTCGATTTTGTGGCGCGCTATTAAATTGTAAATTGGTTGGGCAGCGCTGCCAGCCTGCCTGCCTGCCTGTTTGCCTGCCTGCTGCTGCTGCTTCTGCTGCTGCGGCAAACGTGTCTGAATGCCACATCGTATTGAACCGCAACCCCTTCCCCCTTTGATCGTGAATCGTGTGTAATTTGCTGGCCCAACCCGACTACAGCCTCCAGACTCCAGACTCCGACTCCAGTTCGACCACTTTTTAAGGCTGCGCATGCGCGTGGTTCGTTGTGGTTTCTGCTGTGGTTTTTCGCTGATTGTCTCTCTGTGTGTGCGCCTCTGCCCCTGCCTCTACCCCTGCCACAGGCTAATCAATTCTTCCTTTTCATTGCTCTACGTCCTCTCTGTGTCCCTCTGCTTCCTCCGCTGCGGTTTATCAACGCTTTATTACACTGACGTTTTGTCAATTTGATTGCCTTTGATTTGACTTTGTTTTTTTTCTGTTTTTAGCCAACAACGATTGCTCTCTGTCTCTGGCAAGACCTTGAACTGTCGCCTCACTGTCACCGAGCAGCCAGATAGGCAAGACGAGAGAGGAGTGCCCTTGCCGTGCCACACCAGTGTTTACTGTAGTAATGGTTTTGCTTTTAATTGCTTCCCCTGTTACGAGCAATTTCGATTCCACCTTAAATGGACAGCAGCAGCAGCACTTTCGGTTTTTGTTTTTATTTTTATATTTTTTTGTTGAGACTATTATTTCACTTTCACGCGGTATACCCTCTCGGATTTTTATGCAATCAAACTGCGGGGGATGCAGAGCACCCACAAGCACCACTCACAATTGATGCTACACTCAGAGAAAACTTTTAAAGGGAAAAATACCAAAGTATAATTACAAATAATTCATAATTTCAATCTAGAAATATTTATGTCGAAATTTTAATGTTTATTTTTATAACTTATCCATTAATTTACTTATTATTTGTATCCACACCTTAGATTACATTTGTAAGTCAAAGGCATTACAATTTCAGTGATGTTTACTCGCTGAGTGCATGATTTTTCTTTTCATTTTCTTTCGTTTTTTTGTTGGTGGTTTGTCAGATGTAAATTGATTTTGCTTTGTGGGTTTGGAATTGGTCACGGTGATCGGGGGATTGGGGGTGTAGATTGGATATTGCAATTGAAAATTGAATCGCTTTCAGCCCGCGAGGGGTGGAAGGGTATACTTTACTCCCACATGTCTGCCCTGCCCTGCCCTGCCCTGCCCACATGGTTGCATATCCATTCACACGCTCTGCTTAGAGGTTCTTCAACCTGCCACGATGATGAAGATGCCTGGACTCTGATAAACCAAATGACAACTTCATTTCGTATCCAAACCCCTTTCCTATGCCTTTCTCTGCTCACATTTCATGGGCCAATCACTTGTCGAATCGAAGCAAAGTCATCAAAATCATGTCTCGAATCCCTTCTACCTGCCCCAGAGAGTCGCGAGTGACAACTTTATTGCCACTAAATATGGTTAATGACCGCAAAAGAGAGACAGACCTCTATGAAGCTTCGAAGAGTTGAAATTCTTGTCAACATATCGAAAGCCATTAACAGAAATAATGTCAAATGTCTTTTAATTGTTTCCAAGTGGTTTCCCCTTGCCGCTGCTCAGAGATTCCACTCCCACACCTTCCGTGCCCCCGTTCCCGTTCCCCTTGCTCCCTCGGCGTGGGCATACGCTGATTTATTTAAATTATAAACAAAAAGGCCACAGATAGGCGGGTGAGCGGGAGAGGGTCGGACTCTAAGCCTTTTGAAATGCGCCGCCATCAAATTATTGCTCTTGGCATATCGACATACAGTGTGCCACATGTGTGTGCCCCAATGCTCCATGCTATAGACTGCTCATGCCCCCTTCTGTTGCTGCTGTTGCTGCTGATTAATATCTCACAAATTTTTTGGCTCTTTGATGAATTATTTCTCAACTTGGGCGCTGCGCGATTTGTTCCACAAATAAACAAGAACATGTGGATATATTTTATGAATAGTGGAGGCCATAGATACATTGTAGAAGGATCAGTGGACTGCTGGCTGTATGATATAATCATCCGATGTCCAATGACTCAGGCAGCCACAGCCTCTCTTGTTCATTGTGTTGCTAAACATAGTGACCCCACTTTCTGTCAGGGTATCGAACAAAAAATAAACAGAATTTAGCACATTTTCCCATAGATGGTTCTAAGATCTTTTGGTGTTTATTTTGTTGTTGGTGTGTTTTATGGCTTGTTTAAGTGCTGGCCATACCCGAATGCGGTTCAGATTGATTGAGTTATTTACCAGGCTCTCCAAATAGAGTGGATGTTTCGATTACAGGTTTCCCGATCTACAGGGAATGTTTTGTGTCTGCCCTGAAAACTAAATATGTTTATTCGCTGACTTATTTCCCTGAGATTATATTACTTCGATTACTCAAACCGATTTCGATTATTCTCGAATTCCCCTTTCTTTTAATTCCCAGTGCAATTTCTCACTCTCTCGGAATAGGTTTCAGCGTTAATCAAGTTATCTATGCGTTGGCTCATTTTCATTAGATTCGATTAGAGAGTGTCTGGGTCGCATTTATGAGGATTAATGACTCGAGAGGAGGCATACGACCCATCTGAGCGTTCGTGGAGCACCAGCAGTTGCCACAGCAATTTAATTTCCATTTAAAAGGAGATGCTGCCACCATTCCTCTATGCTCCATGAGTAGTTTTGCTGTTTTGTGGCCCCAACCAAATGATTAATTAGTCCATCTCCCATCTCTGCCACATCTCCTGCCCATGGCCCCCCATCTCTTGTGTGTGTGTAGCTGCGAATGGTTTCTGACATCCATCTGATGGTTTAATAATAAGACAAAAATTGTCTATTGTGCAAAGAGTTTGAGCCCCTCGTTGATGACCCACAAAAAAAGGAGGGGCTAAGCTGCGTTGGGGGTTCAAGTCATATTTTGGTGTATATGGAAGGCCAGATGGAATGCCAAGAGGAGGGGGAACAAAAATTGCTAATTGTTTGTGTCTTTTGTTGAGCTTTTTGTCTGAGAATCTCCACCAAGCTCCGTCTTGACTTTCTACAATTAAACCGAGATATTTCTTCTATATTTTCGGACTAATCTGTTTTGGCTTGTCCATTGTGCGACGAGTGCTGTGATTACCTTTAGCCAGACTCTCTCGATACTTGACTGTTTTTGTGTGTGGAAAGTGAAAGCCACCGCTTAATGGGTGTGGGACTTACGCTACATTTTAAATACGTGGAGGGAGTTTGGAGTGTGGAGTACATACCTGCAAGAAAAAAGAAAATACGAGATTGAGTATTTGAGTAAAAATGTCAAAATATCGATCATTCCTGCTTCTTCCTCCCTCCCATTAACGTGCCCCAATTAAGGCCTCACAGCTTATTTAGGGTTGCCAATTTTATTTAATTTCCACTCGAGAAACAGCCCGCCCGAGCAGAGACCGTCGTCAAACATTTGCCACGTAAATTGTGAGGCAGCGGCCGCAGCAGCAAAAGGAAAGTAAAGTAAAAAAAAAAAAGTAAAAATAAATATTGGCATTGCGTTGTAATAACGCGGCATTAACAGAGAGGCACTGGAGCAGGGGCAGTGTGGCAGCAATGGCAACAGTGGACGAAGGGAAAACCAAAATGGCGACTAACGACGGAAATGAAGAGGCAGAAACACGGCGAAAAACGGTAGCAGGACAAGGTTTGCTGTTTGCTTCGGCTTTACCACCACCCGAAAGCTTAATAATGTAAATTTCGCCTCTAAGCTATTTCCAAAGACTAATGGTGCGTTTAGCATCAACCACCAAGCTCCAGTCCAAGGACCAAGGAAAAAATCACAACTTGAAGCAAAACCCAGCCCAAGAAGGAAAAAACTTTCGCACACACGTGCGTGGGGGCAAAGGTAAGGGGATGGTTGGAAATCGTCATAAGGTAACCGCAAGTTTGCGTGTGACGCACCCCCACTGCCCCTCCACAGTCTACGAGCATTATTAAGCGTCAAAGATTATGCAAAGAACAACAAATGTTCCGTTACAAATGGCGGTTTCTTTTTCGAATGGGAAAGCAATATGTCCCTGCTCCTCCTGCTGCTGCTGCTATTGGTTTTGGTTTGGGTTGCTGGAACCTAAATGGACTGTGGAGCAATCACCACTTCCTATGCAAGAAAGAGAGAGCGAGTTAGAGGACAGAAAACAGATCAGACTGAGCGGCTACTAAGGAGTGTGAGACTTGAGTGGACATTGAGAGAGAGAGATTAGTTCCGAACGTGAAAAAGCTCAGTGTCAGAGGGAGCCAGCATATCATGGACCCTGCCTCTCCCT